GTAATAAAAATTAAAAATAAAGGTTTTTCATGGCCACTAGGTTTCAGCTGATTCAAAACTCCCCGTTGTGAGTATCAGGTAGCCAGGCTTGTTTTCAGGAGTCAGTATGTGGTTTCAATGTTTAGATACAAATGTGAACTGAAGGGAGAGTAGAGGGAGATATCTGAACATTGCAGCCACCCCAGGACTGTCCTATTTACAGGAAGCATGGGCAGAGAACAGAGGTGCTGTACACTGCAGGTCTTGCTATGTTCCAGAGGGACGGTCCCCTGAGGACCTGCTAGGACCTGGCCAAGGTCACTAGTTGGGGAGGGCTCGGAGAGGATGACATCCAGGCTGCATGGCTTATATATACATGTAAATGAGAACATAACCAGAGCTAATTATGCCTCTAACCCCATCTAGCTTTCTGCTGTATCTGTTCCTCTTCATCCCAATTGGATGGAGGCAAGACTGCAAGTAAGTAGGGTCAAGTCTATGCCTAGCACTTAGAAAACAACTTAGCAGAGACTCCTGGCTGGAAATGATATAGAAGAAAGGCCATCCTTCGCATGTAGCTGGCCCACCAGCAGGAAAAATGCAAACAGGGGCTGGAGAAGATGGTTCAGCAGTTAAGAGCACTGGCTGCCTCTTGCAGAAGACCTGGGTTCGATTCCCAGCACCCACATGGTGGCTAACAACTGTCTGTAACTCCGTTCTAGGGGATCTGATGCCTTCTTCTGACCTCTGCAGGCACTGCATGACACCAGGTACACTTACACACATGCAGGCAGTACACTCATACACATAAAATAATAAATAAAATATTTTTTAAATTGCAAATAGAAACCCCCACTGGAGGAGACCTCTAGACAACAAGAAAGTCCTATACTCCTAAGACTGTCAATATAAATGGCAATCATTAGAATATAATTATAGTTCCCTCTATACATATTAAATACATATCTTAGGAAGTATTTGAGATAAATATAATGAAAAAAAGTTATGATCTCGTAATTGTATTGTAAGGACAGGGAATCTGGTCATGGTGTGTTTAGCTAATCAAAAAGTGAGAGATGAAGTTACTCACATTTGAAAGAGCTAAATTGCTTCACATCAGAAGAGGATCTAGGGAGCTGGGGTATAACTCAAGAGTGTGTATATTTAGATAGTATGCAGGAGAATCCATCCCCAGCACTCTGCAGGGGAGAAAGCCAAAATGATTCAGAAAGATGAAGAGTTTTTAAAAATGGAGTGAAAGTGAAAGACTGAAGCAGGTAGGAAGGTGGAGAGAGACCAGAGGCTGAGATGAAAGAGATAACTTTGGAAAAGACAGAATTTGGGAGCAAAATACAATGTGAACACAAGGTAAAGGGTAATCCTTCCTCTGCAGCTGATGCAAATAAAAATTTCTACCTGCTACTCTGTTACATGGAAAGAATGGTGTCTCACCATATGTAAAGGGATCATTTTGGGTGGTCTGACTTTATTTTATTTTTGTTTTGCTTTGTTTGTTTGTTTGTTTGTTTTGGTCTTTTTGAAACAGGGTCTCCCTGTAGCCCCAGCTGGCCTGGGACTCACTGTGTAGACCAGGCTGGCCTGGCCTTGAACTCACAGAGATCCACCTGCCTCTGCCTCCTGAGTGCTGGGATTAAAGACGTGCTACCATGCCCAGCCGGGTGGTCTGACTTAAATGTAGTTTATATGTATATTCAAATTTTATTTTGGGGGTCTTTGCAGGGGTCTCAAACAGTAGTTGAAACTGAATTCAGGCCAGTGGGTCTGCAGAATGGGGAAATGTACCAGACACACTGACTGCCAAGAGCAGAGGAAAAAGGTTGAAGCTTCCAACTCTAATTCCAGTGTCAAAAGGACAAATTATCCAAATTGATGCTTTAGTTGTGATGGAATAGCTTCCTGTCAAAACTGCTCACAAGATGTCTGCAGGACTGACTTGGGTGTGGAAAACAGGAATCTGGATGGTCTTTGGGAGCTCATGGTGCCACTGGTGTGGGTTTCTCTTGGGACTGAGCAGCAATGTGGGGTTTTGCTACAAAATTAGCAGGGAGCAGAGCAGGGGAGGTTGTTGGAGCTATCCAACATTTAGATGAAAAATGATAGACTAAAATAGAAGACAAGTTTATAGGGGCAGGTGTACATTTGAGGCAATGGGTAAAAACCCCACTTCAGGTTGCAATACTTCAGGATCAGTAAAAATCATGTCACTTTTTCCGTAGTAATTAAGGGGAAACTGGGGCTTTGTGTTCACTGACTCATTTTGATGTGTACCTGCTGACCTAGGGCAGGTCATTTAACATCACTAAATTTCAATTTATTTATTTATTTTTAAATGGGAGTCTTGGTATCCACATTAAAGGACCATGGTGAAGTTAACAAATACTGTCTTGCAGTCCAGAATATGTTGTTGATGATTCTAATCACTGCTATTATAAGACTACTTCATAATCCATATGTATACTTAACAGCTACTCATGGGTAAAACCCTACACTAGATTCCTGTACTTTAAAAAAAAAATCTTTCTTTTATAGTCTTTGTAGGTATCAGAATTTCCTTTTCTTAAATTGTTGTGCAAATACATGCCCCAAAACTCTAGCTTTCATAGAATCTGTTTTCAACTCCTCAGTTAATAACTGATACATTTAATTTATACATAGTTGGTATATACAATGTTTATAATGTATACTCTGATAGGTTCTTGTGTTATGTGTGTTCATATTAGAAAATAACTAAGATGAAGGTCTTGATACAAGGTCAGACCTGACTTGTATGTGCTAAGAGGACATGTGGAAAGCTATGAACTAACAGTAACCAGGCACAGCTTTCAGAACAGCCTGTCTCAGAAAATATCCTGGGTGTAGCTCTTGCCCTTTAAAAATCCCTATAACCCTTCTGCCTCATCCCTTGATTTGAGTTTTGTCCCTCCAGAAAACTCAGAAGATCTCCTTTACATATTAACCCTTTGCTGCCCCTCCTGTATCCTTTGCTCACAGGTACCCAATTGCCTTCTGCCCACCCTGAGCTTGGTAGTAACTAGTCAAAACAGTGTGTGGGTGGAAGGCGGAGCCTCAGTCTCAGTCTCTTGCCTTCTGTGGGTTTCAGTCAGATCCCAGGTGTTATTTTAGTGCAACTTCAATGTTTAATTTGAGGATGTGTGTAGACCAGAAGGAGGGACCAAGACATGATTTTTTTTTCCTATTGGCCAAATGATTAAATTTGAAGTTCTAAAAAAAAAAAAAAAAAAGTCAAGCTTGGTGCAAAGCTATGTCCAACTGGGAAGAGATAAATGCCTGGAAACCCCTCCTAGACCAGGACCATTCCTCTTTTGCCACTGGCTACTTCATAGGCCTGTCTTCTTTGGGCATCACCTGGGCAGTCTGTAGCCCTCTGTGGTGCTTCCCCTCTTGAAAATGTCCATCACACCTTTTCTGGAAGAATACTGTACAGGTCTGTTTTAATTTCTTTCAGTCCTGAAAGCGCCACCGCCAGCCACCAGTGAGCCATGGCTGAAGGGGAAATCACGACCTTCGCAGCCCTGACCGAGAAGTTTAATCTGCCTCTAGGAAACTACAAGAAGCCTAAACTGCTCTACTGCAGCAACGGGGGCCACTTTCTGAGGATCCTTCCAGATGGCACTGTGGATGGGACAAGGGACAGGAGCGACCAGCACAGTAAGCAGCCGTCAGAATTTCACCCACACCTTCCTGTGTCTCCCCTAGTCCAGGATGGGAGGAGGGTGGGAACACAGGCCAGATACCCACTTTCCAAGCCTCAGTGCAGACATGATGCATTCAGAGTTGGGTAACAACCCAAGGAGGGGTGGGTTGGAAAACAGGGAACTGCGGATTACCACTTAGCTAATGGCATTCTGTTGCAAGCTTTTGAAAGGATTCTCTGCTGACTTGACATAACAAGTTGCCAGGGTTCAGACACTGCATACCCCGCCTCCACGCCTGCTAAGTTTTTATAACTAACAAAAGATATGGTCCCCAAGGCTGGCCAGGGTTCTGCCTGCCCCATGATGGGCAGGGATGGTAAATCCTGCACAAAGATGTGGGCTCAGTTTCAAATTAACAAAGTTTCCAGGTGATGTTTCCGCTGGGCTTGATTTGTGAATCCTAGACTGTAACCATAGTCTAACACATCATAAATTATGTAGCTTTCCTGCAGCACATAGTGCAGATGTGGCTGTGGTAAGAGGGAGGGGTAAAGTCATTCTCCAGACGGTACTGGAGTCAAAGGCTGATGACCTTGCTTGCTTTCCCAGCAGCCCAGCTTTCAGTCCACATTGATAAATGGAGGTGTGACTTAGGGAAAAGGATGTTCTTGACTAGTACTTCCAGTGCTAGTGTTAGTATGTTTGATATTAGGTGTCTGGTTTCTACTGCTAAGAGTCAGAGATTCCCTGAGTACTACTAGGGTATTAGATGTTGTAGGGAAGCCAAAAGTCCGATCTGGCCCATGCTTAAAGGAGCAGCAGTCTCAAGAGTCAAACTTGCAGCAAGCCAAAAGAGGAAACCAGGAGAGAGAGAGAGAGAGAGAGAGAGAGAGAGAGAGAGAGAGAGACTGGAAGATGCAGGAGAGAACAGGGTGGAAGTAAGATTCTATGAACTGGCTTTCAAATGGAATGCACATTGCTGATGAGATGGCTTATGGGGTAGATGGTCTTAATTACACAGGGGGCAGGGACACAATGCTGTAGGCTCTCAGTGAAGTGATGGTTTCAGTGCCAGTCTCCTCCTTAGTCTCCGATGCATGCTACTGAGATGAACGTTGGCATTATGCCTTCTTCCCAGCCATCACGCTGACCCAGGGATGAACAGAAAGTCGGGTGCTAGGGTTGGTTGCTGCAGCAGGTGTACAGGCTTGGCCTCATGCATGCTTCCCACTCTGTGAAAAATAGGTACCAGAATAAGCCAAAAACAGAGGCTCTAGAATACTAAAAATAAGCAAGGTTTGGGCCCAGTTAATCAAGTGCTTGCCTAGCATGCACTAAGCTCTGAGTTGGATCCCTGGCATCTCATAAACTGGGCATGGTCTCACACACCTGTAATCCTAGCACTCGGGGCGGGGGGGAGGTGTTTGAGGACCAGAAGTTCAAAGTCATCCTCAGCTATATAGTTTGAGGAGTTTGAGGAAAGCCTAGATTAGAGACCTTACCTAACAAATGGACTTAGATTTTAGTTCATTATATCATGCAAGGTACATGTGTCTACCCACACAACCCATGGGAACATGCTGTAATTTCTCAGTGTTTTAAATGTTTCTAGTAAGTCTTATTAATTTTCAGAAGCAATGGAGGGTGTTCTGGTTTCCCAGATCCAGGGCAAAGGTGATCTTGGTAATGTTGTTAAGGTTAACCTGGTTCTTCTAGGAAACATTAACCTTTAGGGTAACAAGCAGCTACAATTACTGTGGTTTCTGGACAAATGTCATGTGTTTGCTATGGTCATTCTACCATTAATGGTATAGAGTATCTCTGGGTGCACAGCATTGGGACAACTTGTAATGGGATTTGGTTACCTGGCTTAAGCTATCAGAAGCCCTGGGAACCCAGCACAGCTCGGTGGCAGGAGTATGTATAAGGAAGCTTCAGGTCTTTTTCTCACTTGTAAAATAAGAACAATATTACTTGTCTCACAGGTTCTTTGGAGACTTAAATGAGATAATATAGCGAATTTTTCACACTGATACTCAAGTTTCTTCCCCTGTGGAATGGGAGTGCTCACAAGGCTGACTACCATTCAATAGACCTGTGAGGGGGGACCTCCTAGGCTTGGACGGCCTCCTGGGCATGTTTGCACTCCCTGAATGTGGATCTGTCGCCCTCGTCTGCTTGGTGATGGCACTGCCTCAGTCATTCTGAACCTCAGGTTTCAGAAGCAGAATCGGCCTTGGGCCACAGGGTGTGGAAGCCTGGGAGAACTGTGATTCACAAACAGTCTGCCAAGCACAGGGTTCTATGCTTTGATCTTGGTCTGAGTATGACTACAGACTGGTGACAGGCAGAGAGTCACACTCCAAGACGTCCTACAGTTAGTCCATTCCCAGAAACCAGTTAGATACTTAATAATATTTAATAAATTATAAATCATAAATTCCACAAGACAGAACTTGTCTTAGAGCTTGGCAAGACAAAAAATAGTTCCTTTCATAGTGTTTCTTTGCCCTCAACCAGTTGACCTGCTATGAGCAAAACAGTGAAGTTATAAAAATTTGTCTTCTTTACCATCAGGACAGAAAGTTTCCAAGCACCTTTTTGCGGCATTGAACTCTGGAGGAGGTTGTACGCCAGCCATACTAAAATAGACTTAAGTGAGATGTCTCCACTGGTTTCCCATACAGAGGATAGTTTGGGCTTGTGTCTTTACCATGGCTTGGGCCACAGCTGCAGGCAATTGTCCATGCACAATATGACCACTGGTTATAGTGTCATACTACCAATACCAGGGATGGTAAAGGCTACAGATTCTGAGGCCCTGGGGGTGCAGTCTGTGAAAAGGTTGCTGTTGGTAGTAGAAGGCTAGCCTGAGAGACAAGTAGATGTGCAAGTGTGAGCAGGTCTAGGAAGAGGCACAGGAGCAGGGGAAGGTGGCTGATTCTGTTCCCAACCCAGAGCATGTTCAGAGACATGTTCCTCTCCTTGCAGCACACCTCTGCGATTACTCAATCACTGTTGTTCTCACGTACAAGGCTCCCTGAGTACAAGATCTCTCTGTCTCTCTCTCTGTAGGGTTTCCCTTATAGCCCCAGCTGTCCTGGAACTCATTATGTAGACTAGGCTAGCCTCAATCTCACAAAGATACACCTTCCTCTGCCAAGATTAAAGGTGTGTTATACCACACCCAGGCTGGATTTTGTCTCTTGATGCCAGACACTGCTAATTTTGTGTCTAGCATATTGCTTGTCACTTGGTGCAGTGCCTAGTAAATATTAATTTGATGAGTGACTGAATAACTGGTGCCAGATAATTTCATATCTAGCAATATATTTAAGAAATACCTGCCAAGGACTGATACGTAGCAGGCACCCCATAGATGGTCATTTCCACCTAAAAACAGCTCTGTGAGGTCACTAGTCATCATTCTGAAAACCCTAGAGCTAACAGGATGTAACCAGTTCCTCACAGGACTGATTGGGCCACCCACCCCTTTCTGCTTCAAGGCTAAGGCTTCTTTCCCTGAGGATCCTACCACCACCCTACTAATACCACGACAGCAGTTTCATGCACAAAGCAAACATGTTGCCATCACATACCCTGCTGTGTGGGTTAGACAGGTGAGGAGTGGTACGAGTCCTATCACAGCTTTTCACGAGATTTGTGCCACCTCGGGACAGTTATTTTTTTCCTCTATGTGCCCAAGTTTCCTCATTTTGCAAACAAGAATGGCAACAGCATCCACCTTATAGAAAAGGAGGGATGTGAGCTATGATCTCTGAAGGACTGCCAGGTATCTGAGTGCTTAAAACAATGACACCATGATTGGCATTATCCTCCTCCCCAGACTCACTGGGCCTCCTCATCCAACCATCTGATCTCTTGTCATTAAACAAATGCCATGCCTGTTCACAGAACTGCAGATGATTTTTCATGGCAGCTTCTCTGTGAGTCTCTCCACTGGAGTTCCTGAGGCCTGGCACAGAGCCGCAGCATGCCCAGGTCCTCACCCAGCAGGCCCTTCCCTTCTCACTTCCTTGGCAGAGCAAAATATAAGGGCAAAGGTAAAAGGGGGCTCTGGCTTGTCTGCTCTTCCTGCAGGAACTTCCTCTCCAGCAAAGGTAGGTGAGACTTATCCCTTCATGGGATTAGCATCTGGAACAGCAACTGGGGAGAAATGGCATGCTCCTGAGCATCCCTAACTTCCAGCCTCCTCCTGGAGCCCACAGCCCCAGGCCTCCCCAGTATGTAGGGAAGAGGCTGCATGGGGAGGATTCCCAGCACCACTTGCCACACAGATGGAAATGTTCTTGAGCATACTGTGTGCCAATCAAATATTTATAAATCTAGCCACATCCTAAAGGCACCAGGGGAGTTTGCTGGTCAAAGGGATCTTACTTCACAGCCTTGGATCCAGGCAGACCACACTTTGGTGAAACCCCTCCCTGCATGCCGTTTCGGGGAGCCCAGACTTCCACTGTCTGGTCTGTTGTGACTCCATACTTAATGGTAAAGGCATTTTCTTCCCTACCAGCTTGGGCCCCAAGTCAGGACAGCTTTTCAAATAACGCCAGCGGGCAGGGCCAGAGAAAGGGGCAGGCCTTCAGGGAAGAATGTTCTCCTAACAGGGCACTCCAGCCTGCCACATGTGGCATATCAGCTTCCCAGCCCCTCAGCCCCACAGTCCCAACCAGACCCTTTGTTAGAGGGATTCTTCTGGAGAAACTGAGCAATATGCATATGAATACACACACTTACATATGTATCAATCAATCTCTAGACTAAATTAAAAGCTTTCCAGACCTTTTTTTTTTCAGACGTTAAAAGAGAAGGCACCATCACGAGTTTTAGGAACGTCTTTTTCTTATGTGTACGTGCACGTGTATCTATACACACCTTATATATATTCCAAACCATTGGAAATTTTTTTCTTGCTCAAGTCCATTTTTTCCCTCTGTCTTTAATGTTTTGCGGAGCCGGCTTGTGGTTACACTTTAATTATAAATGCCACTG